CCAAGCGCTGAGATACGATAAACGGCGTATTTATTGACTCAGGTTAATGCAAGTGGGCTGTTTAAAGATTCGGCCCTTAAACAGATCCCTCTTTTTAAGACGTAGATAATTGGATAGATCAATTGCAGACACAAGAAAAAAGAAGTCATTTCATAACCTTTGGGCGTTTATATTTTATTTGTATACACAAACATTATTTTAAGATAACGATTTTTACATAATTTGAATTTGTAATTCTCTTTCTAAAACGAATCATCCTTAAATTTATGAAAAAAATTGTAAATAGATTATTAACGCTATGATCATTTTGACTTAGATTGACATTTTCCTGATTTGTAAAACAACCAATTTCGGCAATTTTGGGATACAAAAATGATGATGTATGTACATCTAAAAAATAGATATGATATAAAAAAAAAAAAAATTATATTTATTATTTTTTTTTTTTTTTTCAAACATAACTAGTTTTAGTAATGAATTCATTTCCGAATATATTAAGGAATATTACAACGACAAGTAATGACAAAATGCAGATGCATGCAACATTTGAAAAACTTGTTCATTATTCCAATCCATCTTTATAATACTACGCCTTTACAAACATTATTATGTAAGTACATCTTTCTGAACGTCGTCTAGTGGCTTTTTTTTAAATTAATTGGGTTCATTTAACTTTTTGATCATTCCCAGACACTTTTTTTTTGAGCCACATTTTTGCCTAAACCTTTGATTAAATGGACTCAGGATAACTCGTTTAAACAAGACACTATTTTAACCATACCTACATGTTTCAGAAACGAGTATTTGTCTCGTCGGTTTATTATTATTATTATTATTATTATTATATGTCATTATGATCGATTCTTGATCCTGGGGTAAACCTTTGAAAGTTACGGGAAGTCCCCCACAAAAATTCATACCTTGATGGTATCTCTCGGAAAAGATACATGTATTAACCCGTAAAGGTAATTCTAAATGTATTAAAAAGATTTTCTTTGTAAAAATATTTGTCTCGTCATCCTTGACACGAATAATTAATTCATCTGCTGTAATGTTCCACACCATTAGATGAGAAAGTATTAGGTCTTTAAACTTGAAGTTCGAACTTTGGGTAATTTAAATAATCTCTTTTTTTTTTTTGAAAAAAAAAAACTCATTTTTTTTTTCCTCCCCCACAAAAAAAAAAGGGGGAATTCAATCTCCACAATTTTCGTGCGTGCGTAGAGTAATTTAATATTGATGTCAAATCAAAACCTTAAAAATCTTTTATCTCCAAATTTTTTTTTTCATGTCTCTTTTTAATTAAATCATAACATTTTTTAACAAAGAACAAGAAATAAGAAATGTAAAGTGTAAAGGAAAAAAAAAAAAAGTTATAGGTATGATTTACATTAAAAAAAGAAGAAAAAGAGCATTGAAAAAAAAGCCATATTACCTAAATCAAGTGGAAGAAAATAAAAAAAAATTTTTTTTTTTTTTCCTTTGATTACAATCGAAAAAAAAATTATCAATGCGTTAAGATCTCTTTTTTTTTTTCATGCAAACTTTAAAAAGGTGCATTCTGGTTGTACCCAACTCGATGATTGTGTAGCACCACGGGAACGTGAGAGGGAATTGTGCTCGTACAACCACCGTAATCAACGAACCAACAAACTTCCTTTATTTTTGATTATTAAAGTTCGTTTGTAATTCATAGATATCAAATTTAAACATTTGGATTGTTGAATTTAATAGGTAACCTGCGTAAACACAATGACACAACTACAGATTCAATCTAACCCCATCTTTATTTACAAAAAAAAAAAAAGCCCACGTTTACATTCGTATCTCAAAAAGTTTTAGTAAATATTTATTAGCTAACACAAATAAAGAAAACGCCAAAAACATCAAAAAAAAAAAAATCTCGGGCCTTATTCAAGATTTCTTGAGCACACGATTCGAGACTTTTAAGGTTACCACTAAATGGAATATATACATTATTTTTTTATTTAACAAACATTTAAGCCGTAGAAGGGTTATGTCTCTTGGAAAAGATACGCCCTTACTTGTTCACCGTCTTCATCAAAACAACATCCATTTACTTGGTTAGTCTCAGCAGATCAAGATTGATTCGGATAAGAAGGAATTAATTTTATTGATTTGAATGTCAATTAGATTTTTTGTCAAAGAAAAAAATATCAATCTTGTATTTACAAAAGGTATATATAGCGTAGTATGGAATTCTTATTGTTTTAAAAAAAAATAAAATTATGGTTTAAACTTTTAAGATTATATGCTGTAATTAATTATACATTGATAAACTTATTTATTTATTTATTGATGAATGTGAAAATTTTGAACCATAAAACCCCATTGGTTTACGGGAAGAATCCAGATGATCGGTTGGATTCCTTTTTATTTAATCCATTTAATCCGATAACCGAGAAACCCATTAACAAGAAACGAAAATAAAAACGCGGGTTTTTTTTTTATGTTGTTAAGTTTAATTTGAATTTAAGTTTGTTAGGAAAAAGGATTCGGACCTCCAAATTTGGAAACTAAATTATTTTTATTTCCTAAAACCGAAAATACGCGTCATGCAATTAATTTTCATCATATTTAAAAACCTCGATGCAAATCAAATCGAATTTCCATACGTATCACGCGAGACGAACAACAAAAAGAACTATGGCGATGCAAAAGACAAAGGATGGATGAAAAGAATGAGGGGGAAACGCGTCATTCCGTTCTCACCTCCTCTCCTTTTTTTTTTTTTTTTTTCAAATTTCTTAGTTTTCATTTTTTTTTTTTTTTTTTAAAAAAAATATTTTTTAATATTATAAGTTTGAACAAAAGAAAAAAAAAGTCATCAATTTCTAAGGGTGGGGAAGTTTTCAAAAAAAAAAAAAAATTCAAGAGAAAAGAAAAGGAAAAAGAAAAAAATTTAAGGGAATTTCGAAATTAAAAGACCTTAAATTTTCTATCTTTTTTTTTTATGTAAAATGAATACACGCTACGCGTTTTTTGAAATATTCGAACTAAGTTTTTGGTTTTGGGAATATAGATAACGAAATAATAAGAAAAATAATAAATAATACGATTTTTTTTTTTTTTTTTTTTTTTTTTTGTACAGTACAAATTAAAAGGAAAAAAAGATAATAATAGTAAGGTAAAAATAAAAAATATAAAAATATTTACAAGAAGTATTTTCAAATATTTCAAAAAAAAGGGGGAGAATTCCGACTCCTTGTTTCATCACTGACTAGATTAATTCGAGATGAGAAAACGAGGAAAAAAAAAATATACAAGAGAAAATAAAGTTCCAATCAAACAATAATCCCAATCCAGATCATTATTATTATTATATATTATATATTTACAGAAAAAAAAACGAGATAATTTTCCTTAATATTTTGTTTGTAAAAATATATATATAATAACAAATTTTTCTTAATTAAAAAAAAAAAAGGTTTTGAAATATGAAAAAAATAATTCATAAGTTACACCTTTTTTTTTTTTTTTTTTTTTTTTTGAAGAAAATATAATATATGGGAGAGGGGGGAATTCATAATTTTTTTTTATGTAGTAATTTTTTAGGCACGAAAAGTTTTAACTAATAAAATGAATTGATGGTAAAAATTATTATAAAATACATAGAAATTAATTTTTTTTAAATATATATGATCTATCATAAGCGGTATGTAAGTAATATAAGTAGTAGTAGTAGTAGTAATAATAGTAGTAGTTATGTAACATAAGTAATATAGTAGTAGTACTTTAACAAGTAGAGTAATTAAATCATCATAATTTTTAGGAGATTAAATAACAAATAAATAAATTTGGGCTAAGAAAATGTCGTTGACAAGAAGAGTTGGGTACAAATCAAAAAGATTGAGACGAACAAAAAAAATCATAAATAAATATATATTCGTGAAATGTGGTAAAAATAATAATAAAAATGAATTATTTCTTCTTAATTATCATCATATAAAAGTTCGTACAAATACCTTTATGGTAGGAAAAATTATAGAAATTATCATTATATAATTTTTTTTTTTTTTTGAAGACAAACTAACCATTAACAAGAGATTGGGTTAGGATGGTGATGATGAACATGATGCTTGGCCAAAGCCAATTCGGCCAGGATTGATGTACGGTCGTAATCAAATGGTGAGTGTGTATAATAAACTTTTTCAAAGCGACTAAACCTAACGGATTTACGTCGCTGGTGTCCTGAACGAGAATTGATAGGGACATTTGAAGTTTCTCTCGGAATGACCAAGCAAGGGTTTTGTGTCTCCATTTCGTACGATCGTCGGTATTTGTTTATTTGTTGTGTGTTTAACAATGGAATTTGTTTTGACTACCAAGAATCAAGTGTATGTGACAAATTTTTGATATGATTGACAAAATCGGTTTTGCGGAAGAAATCGAATAATTATCGGGGAACAAAATAAAAATGTTTATTCTTTTGTAAATAGGAAATTCATAAAGATTCGAACGGACGAACGGAAGGACGGTCGGACGGACGGACAATTAGTTGTGGAAGAAAAAATTCGAAAAAAAAATGAGAACCGAAAAAAAAGCGTAAGAAAAAAAAGCGAAAGGAAAAAAAAAATATCAGGTCGTTAAATTATCAAGCCAACTTAAAAACTTGAAAGGAAGAAAAAAGGTAAATCTTTTTTTTTAAAAGAAACTAATTGAGTTAACAACAGCTTATTTTAATCGAAAAGGATGGTATCAAGAAGCAAAAGGATGAAAAGGAAAGAAACAAGCGATATCCTTATCCCTTAATCTTTTGTGGTGAGGGGAACCTTTTTTTTTTTTCGGATTTTAGTTTTTATCTGTTGACAAAATAGAGAGACATTCAATCAACGTTAGAAAAAAAATTAAACGGAATGTAAATTTTCTTTATAAAGAAATAGTTGATTGAAACGAAAAAAAGGAATGGGGTCGGCGGTAAAAGGTCGTTAAAATGATTTGATATAATTAAATATCATGAGCTTTTATATGTTTTTGAAATGCGAAGGTATAAGGCATTTAGTGAACGCGAAGAAAGGGACATTAAAAGCTGTGAGAGAGAAGAAGAAAACATGGATGAAGAGCAGGGTTTTAATAGTTGTAAGGGGATTGAAAAAAAAAAAATTTCAAAGGAAAAAAAATTTAAGTCGATCTGTTTGAAGAGAAGTAAAGTAAATGAAATATAAAAAAAAAACCCGAAATAAAATAGTTGCAGTTAAGAAATATAACTCTGCATTTGTGGAACGAGGTGAAGCACACGACAGATTCAATAATATATAATAATATCAAACACATATATAAAAAAATTTGCTTCTGTCTGTGTTGTTGATGTTCAAAAATGTTGTATAATATTAAAAAAAAAAAAAAATCATAATAATAATATATTTTTTAAAGTAATATATGGTTGTATAACTTCAACGCATAAATTAAAAAAAAACATACGTAATGAAAATGAAAATTAAAATATAAATATAAAAAAAGAAAAAAAAACTTACTTTTTAAGTATCTATATGATAGCCCAGCTATTTTATTTATTTAGTATAAAAAAAAGAGGAATATGGATGGTTGTGGCTTGCTACAGCCAATGATTTTCAAAGAAAAGCTGGGCAAAAGACCTGAAAAAAAATTTTTATTGTAAAGGTGCAAGTTCTACAAAAGAATCATTTGTGTGACAGGATTCGAAACCGAAAAAAAAATAGGCAAGAAAAAGGGAATATTTTGCGGGTCAGGCTTGTTTCTTTTTGATCTTTTGCTTCTTTTGTAGGATGATAAAAAGAAAAAGGAAAGAGAAAGGAAGACCGGAAAGTTATTATATTTATAACCCAAATAGACAATAATCCACACATATAATTGGTCCATGGAAAGGCTGAAAGGATTTATGAAATTACAGTCTGGAATTCAATCCATTCTGGCCAAACCAAAAAAAAAAACAATTGTGACCTAACAATCTTTTTTTCAAATTGGAGCATATCAATAATAAAATTAGTAGTATATACAATGCATTATATCATATTTTATGCATACGAATTTATATTACAAGTAAAAAAAAAGTTGTTCAACAAGCCACATAGACAATCAACAATGTTTTACGACAATGCATAAAATGGCTTGCTGGTTATCAATGATACACGTTTTCTCGACTATGATATCATAAGTTTCCAAATTGGGTTTACAAAGTTTAAAAAAAAATTTTTTCGATAAATGCGATAGATAATACAATAAAACGGTCTGCTTCGTGCCTCAAAACAAAACGCGAGATTATGATTTTTAAAACAATACTTATGTCCGGGATTTTACGGCCTTTTTTTTTTGATCTTCCATTGGTCGCATCCATTTTGGAATTTCCTTATTCAATCCTTCATTTGGTGCTATTGATGGTATCATCGTCGTCGTTTACCAATTTCGCAGAAAGATAACCAAATTGGTTTTATCACATGAACTTCATATATGCTATCAAATGAATTTTTTACAGACTAAACCCACATGAGCTAACATATTCCAACTCGTTGGATATATTTAAACAGTTGGCAAATGTTTAACCATTGTTCACGAATTTGGCCTTGTGTCTACAAAAAAAATTTTTTTTTTCGCCCAAAATCCATGAAATTAATGCAAATACCAAACAATTGATCCACATCTTCCATTATTATACTTTCTCCACATACGTAATCACACATAATTTATTCTTGCGAAAAAAAAGAAGAAGCTATCCATCCAATTATTATTCAACTTTGCATATTTTAAATGCGCCACAACGAGAACATTGGTTTGGAAAATGTGTTGAAAATGTGTGCCTTCCCGGTATTCTTCTCATCCGTCTAATGCAATCGCCTCAACCTAATAGTGACACCGCGCAACCTTTACATGTAGATAAGCCTCTCCTCTCCCTTATCATCCACTCAAAGATGTTGAATAATTCCATAAATGAAACAATGTATTAAATAACATCATATAGCATATTTTTTACTTGCAATTCGTTTTCGTTTATTATTTGCATTATCCGAGATTGATCGAATAAACCTCCAAATGGAAATTTTTGTACCACAATCAAGAAAAAATGCTTGGACAGAATGCCAATTTAGTACATACACGTTAATTTAGATTCTAATGGTTCGATTAATCATTAATTTTTGTTTCATCTCAATAAACTTTCATTAATTGAATGTCAGACAACAATAATAACAATGATATACAACGTTGAATTAAACTTTGTCTTTTTATTTCATAATATAATGAATAAATATAACACAACAGCATAACACGCAGACTTCATAATAAACATTTACCCGAGGTGAAAGTATTTTTTTTAAAAAATAAACGCGCAAAATTTCACACACAAAATATAGTACAACATAAAACAACAAATTTTTTTTTTAGCGGGAAACGTTGGCTATTTGATATATTTATTTGGTGATATAGGGCTAAAAATTTTTTCAAATTCAATTCTTTCATATTGTTTTGAAAAACTAAAATTTTTCGGATGATGACATTAAGCATATTAGTCTAGTGGTATTTCTAATCTAAAATTGGATCAATTGAATCGGAGAAATTTGCATTTCGCATGGTTTACTATTCTAACTATAAAAACAATCGACTTACTATTTATTCGTTGAAATTGTAATTACGCAATAAATAAGCCTAAATTCTCAAGATCATATTTGGATTTATAGGGGAGAGAATATGAACGCCTGTGAAAAATATGTCATCGTGCTCTTATCCCGCTCACCTTTGAGGCAATGAAATTGTATTGGATAAGCAAAGGCTACTGTATATCCATTTGGCGGAATTCTTTGTTTCCGGAAGAAACATTTTTATGCTTTACAATAAAATTCCTTGTTATATGGATTCAATTTCTCCAGTTTTTTACATTTCCAAATCTGACACAAATTGCAACGTACTACAAATTTTGATGTGCATCAGTATCACCTTAAAAGATCATTGATGGCAAAAAAAACTGTATTGCCAACAAAGTTCTTTTGTTGTCAAATCCAAATTACGGGCTAAGCTTATTTGATCAATTGTTTACGAGTTAAATGCACGACGATATCATACATCACACAAGTATGTTTGAAAAAAAAAGCGTCAAATATTTTTCACATATAAAAAGCAAGCATATCTGATGTAGTGTAATTTTGAGAATGTTTGGCAAACCAATGCATAGAAAATGTAACATCATTGTATTTTTTACCTATAATGTTACCATAAAACTCTCGAGCTTACAATCATTATCATCTCATGTACATTGTAAATTGGGGTGACCATTTGGATTGGATAAATCTTGCAACTTTATGCTGCGGATCTGATGATGATTACGGAATCTTATGCCGGTGATTATGATGATGCCCCTTTTTTTGTATTGCTATAATTATTGACAAGACTGCACGATGATATAAACATGATTCTTCTACGTTTAAATTTTTTAGGAATAAACATGGGTCTTCCGAATGGAACATATCATTTTATTAAATATGTATGTAATTTAAAATTCTTTTTTAAACTGTGGCGTAAAAATAGACCAATGGTCTGGATCAATGAATCGACGATCAAAAGATTAGTTCAAAAACGCCAAAAAAACAAATCTTTGTTTTTACCCTAGTAGGAAATTTTTTTTTATCATTATCTTGAATAAACTTAAATTACATTTGCATTATCTTTAGAAAATTGACAACTGGAAAAGAGATCTACACGAAGGGGATGAATGATACTACATATAACAAAATAGGCCAATGTCATATCAAAGTATGTTGTAATATACATTTTGTACAAAGTTTTTATTGTGATTTTCATTGTGTAATAATTTTCATGCCTAATGATATAATTTAAATTTTTTAGTTTTTAGGCGGGAGCTTTTTTTTTTCATCTTTCTCAAAGATGAAAGGTAATGTCAAGACATAAATTTTTTTTTCTGCTGCTTTTTTTTTTCGTTGTGTCTTTTTGGTTACCAATTTAGATATATTACTTGTATGCACGTGATGTGGTATGTACTGTTTACTTCTGCATAATACCCATTTCAACTTAGTATAATTAAATACTGTATACAAATATACTGTTTTTTATATTGTGACATAACACGCGAATTTATTGTATCATTATGTCATGGAAAAATAAACGTAAAGTTTCAATATTTTAAATTTGCACAATATTTATAAGCGTGAGTCAGAATTAAAGTTTTGAAATCATGTTCTATTGAATTAATTAAAATTCGAATTGATCCAAATTCCAGGTAATTGCAGGATTACTTTATATTTAATTAAAAAAAATTATATTTTTTTGATCCGATTTATTTCCTTAAAGGAATGTATTTTGTTTTTATATTTGATTTGCATGATGTAAATGTATGTGTGTGTCATATGTTAAACGTTAAAGGAGAAGGAAAAAAAAAAAGGAGAGAAATCGGGAATTTTTTATCCATCAAAAAAATGTGAATACTCAATTAAGATTTATTTCCGCTTGGGATCACATTTTTTTAATTTGGAACTTTTTAAGAGTTTGTATTCTCGTTACATTATGTTTTTACCCTTTAAAAATTTTGCCATGTGCAATGAAGGATTCACGAAACGTATAGATTAATTAGACTTGTCAAAAGATACGTATCACAAATTCCGAGTCACTGTAACACAAAATTATTCAATAATGCAAAATTACAACATCGTACATTCATACAAACCTTAAAAAAATATATTCTAGAATATTTAGACGCAGTATTTTTTTTTTTTTTTTTTTTTTTTTTTTTGAAACCTGGTAGATAATCTTCATCCTTTGTACATAAATTAAATTTTTTTTTTCAAAATCTTTTTTTTATTATACATTTTATTTTTTTGCATATGATACATTATAAACACTTGACACAAATTTTTGAGTTATATTGTTGTTTTGTCTGTTTATTAATCTGTTAAGGAAAACCAAATGTAAGATGTGTATTGGCGTAAATATAGATTTAATATTAATTTCTATTAATTTCCGTTATTTAAAATCATAATATATTGTTAAAGTGCTTATGTTATGATGAATTCCTAATTTTATGCTCAAGAAAAAAGTAATGCATATGAGACGTTCGACTTTTCGAGTTTGTTTCTTCTTTAGATGGAAAGAATACAAACATTACAATGAATTACATAAATCCAACATTGTTTATAACCTAAATAATTACAACGCCATATTCTCAGTTAAACGGCCTAACGCAAATTTTTTTTTAAAAAAAAAATATATCACCTAATTTCTTTTTCAATTCATTCTTGTTCCCGAACAATATACTTTAAATGAATACCAACCTATATATATTATGAAATATATTGTTTGTCCTGCATAACTTAAATTATAAATAATCACAGAAGAAACGAATTGTATCCAGTAGTCATTCCAAATTAGCTTTCTTTGTTAATAGAAGAAGAGACAGAAAACAAAATGATAAATTTTTTTTTGTACCTGGCTCGACGTGATCTTGATAATGCGAAAGAAGGGCTTGGGCGTGGTAATGGAAATCAAATGACTTGACTTTAAAAGTGCTTTACAAGTAATCGTAATAATAATATAATCAGTGAATTCATTTGTTTTATAAATTATATTAAATAAAGAAAAAAATTTTTTGCTTGGCGTTTTTTTTTTTTCATTTACCAAAATTACCGTAATTTAACTGTTTATTACCATTAAATGTGGTTACGCACTGATTGAATTTTTTTTTGTTGATCGATAAAAAGACGATTTATGCATTGATAACAAATAATATCAAACATGTATTGTATAATAATTAACCATTATGTAAAATGCGAAATTTTTATGCACTTCGTGATCATATGCCTAATTGAAATAAGATCAATTGTTTTGAAAAATACAATTTTTTTTACAAAAATAATTAAAAAAAAGAGAGGTACATCATATATACATATAGATGAATGAATAGATAAACGATGATGAAAGGAAAGGGAGAAGAAAAAAAAAAAAGAAATTCAGCCAATTTGTCGTGCAGCAAGACATATTGTCGTCTTGGAGATTCTTTTAATAAAATTTTAAAAGATCATTTGTGGAGGCCGCACCATATAATTGAGTAGTACAACCAAATTTTCTGTATCAAGTTTTAAATTTTGCGCGGGTTAATACTCTATTGGTTCATGATAGTATTAACCAACAGTTTGTTAAACAATTAGCTAGCGATGCGAAGAAAGTTTGATATCCGTATATTCTTTTACTAGTCACATTATTTACGCCACTTAAATCTTGATAAAATTATTATAAATTAAAAATATCTATTTCAGGGGTGGGGATCATGAATGACAACTTCTCCACAATGATGATTACACCAAACGATATTGTTTCGGACACAGACATAAATACCTTTTATAGTAAAATAAATGAAGACCTTATAATTTCTCGTTTTAAATCAGGTAATTTGTTCAGTTTGAATCATTTCAATGATTCAATGACCATTCATGCTGATAGATCACCTGAATTTAATTTATCATGATGTCGATTGAAACGCTTAGACCAACACAACAAAGAAATTCATTAAAGAACAAGATTTATTTATTATTTAAAAACCTTATACAAAAGCCTCATTTCCTTTAAAGTAACCTTTTTGATAATTCCCTTTTATTCCTCTTTTTTACCCTTAAAAACCCATAAATAAACTTGCTTTAAGTTTAATTAATCCCTGAATTTCTCTGAGTCATCTTTTAATTAATACGGATTCGAGAATATTATGACTACAATTGCACGTGAATGTTTTCCGTTACCGTGTAACGTGTATTGATCCCATTCAGAATTCGAAACAAGTAAATTACTAAGGAGTTCTATTTTTATACCGATTTCTTTCTTTTGAGAAATGATCATTCTTTTCCTTTCATTCATTCTCTCTTTAAAATAATTTTCTTTAATTGGATTTTTTTATTGTATTCAAACAGTTACGGCCATACACAGTGAAAAGCACCGGAACCCGTCCGATCTCCGAAGTTAAGCCACTGATGGCCCAGTCAGTACTACGGTTGGGGACAACGTGGGAATACTGGGTGCTGTAACTTTTTTTTTTTGGTTAAGAATCATTGAGATCCTCGAAGGATTTTCCAGAAAGTTCAATTTAAGTTACCCGTAAAACCTTTATTTCATGTTTTATTGTAAGCCAAAAACCTGGAAAGAATAATTTAACTGATTCCAAATTTATTTTACCAATTCGAACATATATATATGAGCTTAACAATAGGATTGACACGTGCGTTTTTATTTTTATTTTTTTTTTTTCAATCTCTGAATGAAACATTGCCTTCGAACGATTTTAATAATACGAAGCGACACATGATTATAATATATTGCATATGTCTTATTAGCGCCATAAACCTTTTTTTTTTCGTGTTATGTAAATAATTGATTTATTCCCTACTTGATTATATCCGAATATTCAACATTCATCGTGATTTGTTGTTATGGACTTTTATCAACCAATTTTTAGATTTAATAATGAATTTTATTAAATTTTTTGTTTAAAACTTTGTACTGCACCTAATTATCCAATAGATTAGAGATTTAAATTTGAATGTTGATTTTAATCTTTTGACATCATAAAAATACTAATTTCTCTGATAAGTACTTGTTATAAGATGTTAAATGGTTAAAGTCATTTCTGTTTCCATATCCTTAAAAAAGCATGTCAAGAGCCTGTACTTTGATAAATAACAAAGACTTCAACAATAATTTCAACTGAACCTTTCTACCGCATAACTAAACGGTTCCAACAGTGTGTCAAGATTCCTTTAATTACTCTAGATGCAAGCAACGAACTACAGAGAGATAATCGATCATTAAATAAGTTTGATACAAAACTTTGTTACTTCAATCCGATAAAATTTCAAATTGTTCTGACATTTTCCCAGAAATCTTACCCTCATTTTTATATTTAGTCTTTGTTTGAATACTCCACAACTTTCCCTCGCTCTAATTTTTGACTTTAATTTATTTGATTGCTAAAGATAAAAGAATCGCATATTTATTATTATAAATTATTTCACGAATAAGAGGTGTTTCCAGTACTAGTCTCATGATGTTTATAGATATACAGGAAGTAGATCCTCCTGGTTCTCAGCGAGCCATATTTTACCAGAATAGAAGCTTTGAATAATTGTTAAGTTTGGGATGTACAATTTATCTGCTTGAGCCATTCATCATGAAAGAATTTTAGTTGATATTCGATTTGAAATGTTTATTCAATTACTACGGTTCATGGACTATAACAATTATTTTCCTTGAATTTTTGAAAAAGAGTTTTTTTTTGATACTTTTATTAGACACATGCCAGTGGTTAATATTAGATGTATATCCTTCAACAGAATGATACGACTTACAACACGTATTCATCATTATAGCCCTTTTTTGGTATAATTTTTAATCCAGAGTGAATTTGCATTAAACCTAAGTAAATATATGGGTTGTGTGCTATTAAAATTGAGGTACGGATCATTTGATTTACTATGTCTTGTACCTCAATTTTAATAGCATACCACCCATATGTTACTACCCAAGTAAATTGCTACATTATTAAACCATATAGTAGAACGCAAGGTACCTGTTATCATTCACATTTATCACTACTGGAAAGAGGGTTAAAAATAACCTAAGATGATAGTCTATATTATAGTTGCCTCACTATTCGTCAAAATTATTCTAAGAATCAAATTCAGGACTCCAAATTCTAGTTGTGATATAAGCATCATGATAATTGAAGACAGTGCAATATCAACCACCTATAACCCGTGACTATTATTCAATTCAAGTTATATAATACTTACCATTGATCATAAACTCACAGGTACTCTTTGCAGATGATGCAATACTTATCTATTACAGATCAGTTCCAATTATAGGTCTCAAACTCAATTAGTTCATTATAGACAATTTTTATCTATTATCTTTATCTGCTATTAGGGAGGCATAGATCTAGACAAAATGACTTATACCATTTTGGTAGTAGCTACCATTATATCATATAGATATTATCATAATCATCATATTCTACAATTCGTGATCTATAATATATGTATCCTATAAAATTCTTTCCCAGAATTGAACTGGTAACTAGTAAATCCTATAGTAAATTAATACTATAATCTGCCTTGGTTAAAGGTTAGACTAAAATCTATTGTAATATAACTTATAATATTAATTAAAATAAAACTACCAGTTATTTTTCTAAAATTTTTTTTAATGATGTGATACTACCAGTAACTTTATTATTTATAAAAAAATATATATAAGTAAAACTAAAAATAAGAAAAGAAAATTACTAACTATCACTCATAATTATATTTTAAACCTATTTGAATTGATCTAGCATTATCTTTTTCCTCAAATAGACCTACTAAATACATATCTAATGACTACTATCATTATTAAGAAAAGAAAAAGAAATCAATGTCTATCTAAAAATCTGAAAATAAGTTACCAAATTTATTTGTCAGATGGAGTCATATTTTCTAATTACGAGATTTATGAATATCTGTAGAATGATCTAAAAATTTATTAGTATCATGTTTAAATTTTTTTTTTTTTAGATATACCAAAAGAATGTTCCTTATCATTTATGAGTTAGCAATATATATCTTCATAAAGACTATTTATAAAAATGATAATGAATTGAAAGATAATCAAAAAGCATTTGTCTTTATTTTTTTTGATATTATGGATAAGGTTAACTAAGGATAAAGAAATATAGAGTTTAATGATAGAGAGATATCTATTAGTACTAGATGATGGATAAAGAAATATAGAGTTTAATGATAGAGAGATATCTATTAGTACTAGATGATGGAAAAGAAAAGATAATATCAAAGAGGTTAAGAAGCTCAGGAAGTAAAGAAGTATTTCTCAATCTAGGATAATCCTTAAATAGTCAGAAAAAATAGTCCTTTATACAAGGGATGATGTTTGAAATTTTAATTGAATAAGTTGGACAAGACAAAAAGTGAGAAGTGATTCAGTAACTATATCACAATCTATATAATTCCAATTTTTATATAGATAAAAATGCAATCTTTTAAGTCTTATAAGAACAGGAAATTTATCAACAAAATATTTAATAATGAATGATTTGATTCAAACAGAAGTAAAAGAAGTGATTAAAAGTAAAAAATCTAAGGATAAAATGTTTCAAATAACAAACCAATTGATTTTGATGAGCTGATAAGTATTTTTGATGTATTAAATAATATTTCAAATTAAATAATTAAAAATCTTTTCAAGAGATCAGTTAGTTAAGATTAAAGATGGGAACTATAATTAATATATTGCAACTTTTAATGTTGCAACTTACGTTGCAATTAGTTTTATCCTATATATGTTGCAACTTATAATATTGCAACATATGTTGCAACTAATTTTAGCTTATGTTGCAACATTTTGTAAATTTGAAATCAATTGCTGTACTATCTTTAGTTAAGATAGATTGTAAGATATATAAGTCAAATTTTAACTATCCGTATAGATATAAATAGTAGCAGAAGTAGCAGATTAAGAGAAACAAGAAGAATGATTATTAAAGCAAATAACTCTGCATGAGTAGATAAAAGCCAATTCTCTACTGATATAACAAATTAATAATAAAAAAACATTTATCAACACAAAGTTAACCAATACCCACTTTGTAATTTTTTGACCCTATGTCAATTAAAAATCTATATGTATAAATTTTAGTATATTAAATCTTAATAAAGTAGTTTATATGATTATGATTGATAAAAGATATGAAAAATATGGTAAAATAATATTAATAATATTATTAGAGACAGAAGATGATGAGAGGTAAGCAATTTTATTATAATATAAAAAATAAGTAATGCAGGAGATTTCTATCAGAAAATAGTATAGGTAACCTTTTGACTTAGTAGATTAATTTAATAAAAGTTTTATCTTAAACACTCTATTTGCTTAAATTTGAAAAATACAAGAATTATTGGAAATTATTGAGAAAAATTGCGAGCATCCTTAATATTTGATGAAAGAAAAACAATTATCATTATTAATAAAAACACTATAATGATAATAGGTGAATCATCTTAGACAAGAAATTTTATCAAAAATTAAGTTAAAGAAGATACATTTAAGATCAAATTCTAGGAGACAATAAACTCTTGTTTATAATCTAAATTAAAAAAGATGATAGCTAAATATTTATAAATAAGTAAAAGTTAAACTAATCTATATTTAGTTTTAAGAAGTCTATTAGCAGAATTATCTAAAAACTAGAGATTCTAAATCTAAAAAAATTTTGAGTTAACTAATCTACTATTTTTGTGAGCAAAGTCCCTAATAAACAAATCAGATTTATCTATAAGATGATATTCAAAAAAAGTTATAAGTTGATCTAAGTAAAGAATATTGTAATTAGTAAGTATAGTAGTATATTTAAGTAACATTTTTTTGTGAAAGAATGTTATATAAAGGATAAATACCCTCCATAATATTAACTAAATATGTAGAAAATCAAAAAAAAAAAGATTTTCAGAAGTGAAATGTATTAAACTTAATGCAGTATCAATAAGATTCTTATAAGAACTATCATCAAGAGGTTATAACTAACAATCAAGAGGTGATGAAAATAAAGAATAAAGAAATTGTAATTAAAAAAATCTGATAGTAGAAATATGTTTATATAAGAAAGCATTATTAAATTAGTAAAGAAGATTACTAGACAATAACTTAATTTGTAATGATTATAATTGTTTAAATTGTAGAATTATTTGAAATTAAGAAGAATAATTAAAAGAATAAAGGCAAATTTATTTTTCTTTTTAAAAAGTGAATGAATAGGAGCAAAAAATTTAACACATTCAGTTTTTGATAACAGAGTAAGTTTAATATGATATTCAATAAAGAACACAAAACCATGTTAACAATATAAGCAATCTATTTTTCAGTAAATTTTTTGTAATATATGGATTAGTGAAATGATAAATATCTTGTTTGATTTAATTTTTAACAAATGAAGGCAAACACTTACTATTAATCCAAATACTAAAGAACCTGATAAAATCCAACTTTGGCATGATATCTATAGTTGAAAAAATAAAATCAGAGATTTATGATAGCAGAAACAGAAATATTTATCATAGTGAGGTCAGAGAGGAGATTTAGTTATATTTAATTTTGTATCCCTTATTAAGATTAGCTACTTTATATAAAAGAGGATTTAAGTATATATACTATAATAATAGGGATTAAGAATGCTATTCTAAATTACTAAAAATTAATTTCAGTTATATAAAACTAGTTTTGGTAGTTTTGATTATTAATTAAATTAGTTTTGACACTTAAATAAACTAGTTTAGTTATTCTAAATTACAGAATTTTATTTTCAGATAGCAACACTAATAAGAATATTACTTCTTCTTAATCAATACTAATCTTAACGTCATAATAATCAAAGATGTTTGTGCTGTAAAAATAGCATTTTTTTGAATAATGAAAAGATTAATAAGTAAAACAATTACTTTATTAGGAATCTTTATTTGTGTAAATGCTTTCTAAGAAAAATTAGGTCAACTCTATTATAAGTTTTAGAGAGATCTTAGATTAAAATCCAAATTTCTTTATTATTTTCAATTGCATTTTCAAGAAGCATGTTAAGAATCTTAATAAAAGTCTTTATAGAGCCTTCAGATAATTCAGCGAAATTGTTACCTTTAAGAATGACATGTTTAGTAAAGCTTCTCATAAGCTAAACTAGCTTACAAGTCTCAAGAGTTAGCTTGATAAACTCAGTTTGAGTTATTATAAAACAGCTTATAAGCTGATTAAGCCAACTTATACTGTGACCCTGTGACTCAACTTGTGATATAACTTAGCTCATCAGCTTATATTTTTTATTTTAAAAATAACAAATCCAGCAAATTAACTTTGAAGAATAATGTTCTAGACAATGATTCTTCGAAGTTAAACAGTTTCAGCAATAATTTCTTCGAAGAAAATAATTCTAGCAAAGTTTATTTTGAAGAAAAATGATTTCAGTAACATTTCTTTGAAGAATAATGTTTTCAGAGCATTTTTTTTAAATAAATGCTTCTAGAATGTTACTTTTAAATAATAACACTTCCAAAGCATTACTTTTAAAAACTATACTTTCAGAATATTATTTTTTTAAAATTAACGTTTTAAAAGTATTTTTATTTAAATAATACATTCTGAAAGCATTATTATTTAAAATTAATATTTCAAAAATGTTTCTTTTAAATAAAATGTTCTGAAAATGTATTTTTTTAAATAAACATTCTGAAAGCATCTGAAAATAATATTTTTTAAAATTAATGCTTTAGAGCATTACTTTTAAAATAATAATGCTTCAGACATTTTTTTTTGAAGGAATAACCTCTATGGCTTTTTTATTAAAGAAAATTATTTCTGGAGACATATTTTTGAAAGGAATCATTTCTGGAGGTATTTCTTTGAAAGAAATCATTTCTAGAAGCATTATTATTGAAGAAATTACTTCTGTGTATTTTCCATTGAAGAAAATCACTTCTGTGGTTTTTCTTTTGATGAGGATCATTTCTGGATGCATTTTTATTAAAAGAATCACATCTGTAGCTTTTTCTTAAATAAAATTACTTCTGTGACTTTTTCTTTGAAAAAAATCGTTGTTAAAGACGTTTTCTTACAGAAAATCATTATTAGAAGCATTTTTTTTGAAAAAATTGCTTATATAACTTTCTTAGAAGGGCAAAAACCTCTATAGCTTCTTCTTTAAAGAAAGAAAAGGCCTCTGTGACTTTCTTTTTAAAGGAAATCTCAATCTTTTACTAAAATTAACGCAAAAAATGTTAAGAAATCTGCAATAATATAACAGTTGTAGAATATGTTGATCCTAATTGATTTTCATATAAATTAAAAATTTGTTGTTATACAACATTTTATTTAATATAAGTCTAATAAGAAAAATAATTTGTTTCTTTATTAGTAAATTAAAATAAATTAAAAAAATTTTTTTAGTTAAAAGTTAAAATATTTAAGAGTAATTAAATAATTTTTTATATTATTATTTAATTATAATCAATTTACAATTTTTTATTATAATGCGTTTAGATTATTAAAAATAAATCATAAAATTGCAAATTTAAATATATTTATATTTAGTTATATAATATTTTTTTTTATAATTGATATTTATTTAAAAAATTCGATTACAATTTGTATTTTATACATTATAAATAATAAAATAAAAAATATTCAACATTTATTGATTTTTTACTTTGTATTTTTATTTTTATTTTTTCTATATTTAATATAATTGCTGACTCTTTTTTTATCCCAATTTAATTCTTTTTCTATTATTTCTAATTGCTCAAATGTTGGTTTTCTATTTTGTTCAATAAGTAGTTGTAATTTATTAACTTCTTCATTTGTAGTTCTGCTATATGTTCTTTTATGTAATATTTCTCTATTTTCTTCAATAGATATATTTTTACATGTTCTAGTAATAGAGGATTCAGGTTGCAAATTAGAATTATTTTGTGGTTGTAATATTGGTTTATTCTTGATATTTTTTGAATTTTTTTATAGGTATAAACTACAACTTCATTAGCATGCCTTTGTATTTCTTAGTTTCTATAAGTAATTTCTTGTTTATACAATTTATTTATACGTATTTTTCCATTTTTATAACAAATAGTAAGTTTGTTATATCCAATTTGATTCATTTGAAGTGTAGTTTGCAAAAATTTATGTTTTATATTTAATGGATTTTTAAATAAATCAAATAATTCTATTGATAATTTCCAAATAATTTCTTTTTTTGAAGATATAACACAATCATTTGTAATTTTTGATTCTTTTATTTGTAAAAATTCTGTTAATAATAGTGTTTTTAATCATTCAACTTCAAATTATGCTGCTTTAATTTGTAATTTAAGTGTTTCTAAATCTATTACACATGATGTTAAAGATTGTTTAATAAATTTAACTCTATAAGTTTCAAGTATCTCATCAAATGCAAAAAAATAATTAGCTTACGTTATATTTACAGAAGCTATATTGTGAAGGATTGTATTTAAACATGGATCTGAATCTATTTTATATAAAGTATGTATTACTAAGTTTACATAATTTAATTTTTCTACCATATAAAATAAAGGAGAAATGCTTTTAAATTTTCAATTTGTATATCAAAATTTCCAGTTCATATATTAATTTTGTAACTTTTCTATAATTCTGCCTATTGCTGATAATATGTTCAAACTTTTATAATTTCATTTTTTGATTTAAAAATATCATAAATAGTAACTAAATTTATTGCCATATATATTCCTACTATTGTCCAAATTAAATCTAAGATTCTTGAAATAGCTTGATAATTAACATATTTTGAAAATTAGTCAAATATTTTACACCAAGTGCAGCAGCAAAATTAAAAATTCTGTAACCAGAAAAAATATTAATTAAAACTCCACACATATCTTTATTTAAATGCCAAGATTCTAATAAAATTCTTGTATGCAGATTTGCTATTATTTTATAATTAATAATACGTCTAAAAATTGATTCATCAGCTGCAATATCAAGACTCTCTTAAAATTCTAAATATTCTTCATTATTAAATGCTAATACCAATGTCTTCAAAATACATTTCACATGATTCATATATTCCTTTATCATCATTAGGCATTTCACCATCTTCTAATATAATTATATTAGGAGGTAAAATATTATAGCATTCTTTTGAAATATACAATAAAATTTTTTGATGAATATTACTATTGTCAAAATTATTAAAAAAATATAAATATTCATCAATATATTTACATTATAAAATTTTTTGAAAAACTACTGTAAATAATTCTAAAGTTTCTATTAAATATGAATTATAACTAAATAAACTTTGTCGGTTATTAGGTATTATTAATGAATTTTTTGAAATTATTGCATAAAAAGAAAGTGGTAATATAAATTGAAAAACCATTTATAGAGTTGCATGTGAAATAATATGAAGTGAATCATATAAATTTTCCCATCAAAATGATTTTATCATAAAATCAATATTGTCAATTACAACAAGATTCCAAATGTGCGATCCATAAATTAATTTTTTCTTTAGCAAAATTTCTTTCATTCTTTTTAATTCTAATCTACTTTTGTATTTTTGTATATGTGCAATAATATGAGCAGCTTGCAAAATAACTTGTAATGAAGGTAAAAATGAAGGTCATTAACAAAAACTTGCTAATAAATAATAAGTAAGCCAAAAATGTGTATGTTTAAATGATATAGTCAAAATCACAGAAGTTAAAAAGGATATTATACAAATTGATTTAAATATATCTAAATTTTGATATATAAATTCAATTCTTTTTGAATTGCTCTTCTTTTTCATTAAGCTTGTGTATTCTCATATCATTTTTTTAATAATGGTTCGATAAGTCTAAAAAAAAACTTGGTGATTATTTCTGAAAAAGCATTATAATATTCTAATAAGTTGATGAATTAGAAAAAATTTCTTTTTTGTTGTATCTCATTCTGCAAACATAATAAGTTTTTACCTAAAAATTGATCAAATTCATAACTTTCTTGTGATGATATTTGAAGATTTTTGTTTATTGCAATTTTATTAGCTTTTCTGATTTTAAGTACTGATTTGACCATAAATAAGCTTAGCAGTAAAATATTTGCTAAAGGAATATTTAAAATATTTTTATTATTTATTGTTAATGAATAAGATAATTGAGATAAAAGTTGGGCTTGTAATAATGAATCTTATGATTTCACAACATTCAAAATCTATTTACTAATTAATTCCAAACTTTTTTCAGTATCATTATTGTAATAGTTATTTTCTATATAAGATATATGCCTTTTTTCTTGTCCAGGAGGAATGTGAATATGTCCACCATTTTTTTTAAAACAAATTTGACAAATATAACATAAATATTTTAAAGACTATTTTTCAGAAATTTTTTTAAAAATAAATGATTCTCAATTTTATTGTATTACTGAACGTAAAAATTGTGTTATACAAGAAATTAAAAGATATTTTTCAATTAAATTCCAAGAATGTGGATAATATAACTTTCCACAAGATATAATATAAAAATCTAAATTGCAAAAGAGACATTTTCTAATTGTAATCATAGATTATTCTTTTGATATTTTTGCTTTAAGACCTGTTTCATGAAAGGTTTAATCCAAGTTAAAATGTGTATTACAAACACAGAGTTTACTAAGTTCAGCTTTTACTTCTTTAACAGATTCTGAATTAACTTTTCAAATTCTAACTAACTGCCATAATTTTAAATACTTGAGTTTTAACATTTAATAATATTTTCAGCTTTTGGATCTATAATCATAATTGTACAAGTTGAATGAAATACTTTGTTGATTATAATTTTTGTAATATTATTTTCATCATCAAAACCTTCAGTTTTTAATACATATATCTATGATAAAAAAGTCATTATTATTATTATTAATGAAAAGAATATATTTTTTTTTATTTACCTTCATTATTATCATTATTTATTATGTATTCATCAAAAAAATTTATTTCAGAAAAATCATCATCTGAACTAATGTAATTATCCATACATTTAATGTTATCGTTTAAATTAAAGAAAAAAAAATTCATCTTGTTTAAAAGATTGTTTGAAATCTATTTCATTATCTATATCCTTCACTAGTTCATCTTTAATGATTATATCAGATGATAGAGTTCCGCAATTCGATTTGATATTTGAATATTTGATTCGATCAAATTTAAATCAAAGAATAATTTATTTGATCAAATCCAAATTAATGTTTGATTCGATTCGATCAAATTCAAATTAAGTATTTAAATATTTGATTTAATTTGAATCAATAGTAAAGCTATTTACAAAGCTTCTGGAGTGCCTCTTACTAAGAAACTATAGTAAAAAATGCTTCCGCAGCTTCAAAAATGCCTTTTTCTAAGAAAACTATAGCAAAAGCGTTTCTGCAGCTTTAGAAATGCCTTTTTTACTAATAAAACCATAGTTAAAGATGGGAACTGTAATTAATATGTTGCAACTTTTAATGTTGCAACTTACGTTGCAATTAGTTTTAAC